ATATTTCATTATAACCTGGTAAAATAAAAAAGAAAAAATCCTTACAAGCCGAATTTGTAAACATTTTGAATATTTCATATTATTTATATTTATAATAATGCTGTTTTCATTGTTGTTGTTGTTTATAAGATAGAGTTTTTCTGTGTGTCATACTCCTACCTCAGTCTGCCAGCTAGGATTTCAGCACACGCCATCAACCCAGCCTTTATGTTGGACTGGAATTGGACCAGGGCTTTCCATTTGGTCTGAGCCTATGGAGCACAGCATTTTAGCAGCACATACCACTGTGCCTAGACCTGAGTTGTCTTTGATTGAGTTCTTTGGAAACAGATTCTGAATGAAAATTTCTATGTAGATGATACTGAAAAAATTCTCAGAATATAAGCTTGTTAGGAAGTGGAGAAAGCATATTTGGGCTGAGAATGAACTTGATCCAAAACTTAGATTCAGTTGCAACCAGTCTCAGTTAATCCTCAGAGGAGCCATGGAACTGGAATGAGCCTTCGCACTTGCGCCAACTGAGACAGAACGTCAGGTCTTTGTGTTTGAACATCAACTAATCACTGACTGCAGACTCCCCTGAAAGGGGGGAAATCTTGGAGGAGGAAGTGTCCTGCAACCAAGAGTAACATTTCCTAGGGGATGCAGCTGAGAGGCAACAACAGAAGAAATTCTAGCAGCTTCTTGGATTTATGTTGACCCTGAAGAGCAGATCTGGGCAGACGTCACAGTATCAATAATCCAAGAAGGGAAAAGACAGCAAGCAAAGTTGGGTTTCACAGAATCAGATATGTCTTAATGATTCATTTGTCAGTTTTGTGGTTCTCTGATGTAGAAAGAAAGTACATAACAGGAAAAATAAGTAAATACCAAACTGTAAGAAAGGGTAAAACTTAAATCTTTGGGAAAAATCCTAAGTACCTAGAACTAAAGAAGGAGAGGGAATCAAAGCAGATCTAGAACAAAATGTGAGGGAGTAAATAGCAAAAAATGACGCTGCAAAGGTGGATAAGAGTCGGTCACAGATGATGGTACTGAATGGTGCGCGGAACATTCTGCATGTTACTGGAAGTTGATAAAACAGTAGGAACTGATTTGTTTACTTCAACGCTAATTAGACCAGCAGAGTAGAACCTGACTTGGGAGAGAGACTGGAGACAAGAACTGTAGCTACAAGGTGTGGCAGATTCCCATATGTCACTCCGATATCCCGCCTACCCCCTTTCTAACTATTTCATTCTTCTTTTCTTTGCAGTGGCAGAATGGCAAGTCAAACACCTTTTCATCTATAATGAGTCTTAAACAGAAGTCTACTGGTAGCTCTTAAGAAAATTTAGCTTTCTGTACTGTTTTATCACTCAAGAAGATGTGGTTTTTGTTCCCTTTTATTGTTTGAACATGGATGTGAGGGCTAGAGCTGCAGCAGCCACATATACCAAAGAGACAAACCTGAAGAATGGTTAGAGATCATAATGGGAGCAGTCACTTATCTTTAGACATTTTGCTATGTCAGAAGCATAGATGCTATTTATTTAGGCCATTTTAATTTTGTTGTTTTCATTACTGACTGCTGAGTGCAAACCTAAATGATGTAGAAAGCTATCAAAATAGTCCAGGGAAGATTTGATGAGGGCCAGAACTAGGTAAAGACAATTGGGAATAGAGACACCACACTAGTAAGAAATACGCAAATGGCCAAACATGCAGGACCAGGTCACTAGCTGTGGGACATTAGAGAGGCTGAATATGTAGCAGTCTTCCTGAATTTCTGTCTTGGAAGATTTTTCTAGGCTCACCTCCTGCCATCTTATAAGTCACTTTATTTCCTCCTGCCATCTTATAAGTCACTTTATTTCTTAACTTTTAAATTTCTACCTTTTTAAATGCTTTTCTTGGCTTTGCTATTTTTTAAAAAGAGTTATTCATTTACTTCATTGCATTTGTTATTATTTTTTAATTTTACCAGAGAGAGACAGAGAAAGAGAAAGAAAAAGAGAGAAAGCAAACCACCAGGTCCGGGACTCGAACCACAGTTGGCCATGTGGGAATCCAGTGCTGTTAACCACCATACCACCTCCTGGCCCTTAGCATCTTTTTATTTCTACTCCATCTAGTAAATTCCTTTCATCTATGCTTTAGATTTATGTCATCTTCTCTGTAAAGCACATTGCTGTGGTTTGTGTCTTCCCAAAATTCATGTGTTGAGGTTTGATTGTGAAGGCCTGAAAAGAGAATTTATTACCTTCATGATCTTAAAAGGTAGAGCCTTCTAGAGTGATTGATTAGAGAGGGGTTCCTATGATTGACGTCTGGTGGGTTTATAAAGAGGGAAAAGAGACCAGGAGAAACACATGGAGCACAGAGCATGCTTTCCCAAACTCTGCCATGCTGTGAAACAGTCAGAGGACAGCTAGCCTCTGAGATAGGTACAGGTAAAAGTCTTCATTTTACTGAGGACTACTGAGGCAGAGAAAAAATCATTAATCTTAAATAATAGCCTAGAAAATAAAAGCACTTACATTTGAATCCAGGAAATATGGCGCCAGAGACCCTAATAATTTTTTTCCACAGGAAAAACAACAGAAGAAATAGACAGTAATTTTAATGAACTGACTTCAATTCTTCAACCATGGGACACACTTCTACCATGGGTTGAATGGCAACCTCCAACAAGGTAAGACCACAACCTAGACTCCATGGCTATGATCATATTTATAAAAAGAGTCTTTGCAGATGTGATTAATGGATTTATAAATTATACCTGGATTATCTGGTGGGCCCTACATCTAATGATGAGTCTTTGGAGACACACAAAGGAGAGACTGGGAGAAGAAAAGACCGTGTGAAGACTGATATAGAGACCAGAATTATGCAGCCACAAGCCAAGGAACATCTGGAGCCACCAGAAGCTGGAAGAAGCCAGGTAAAATTTTTCTTCGTAGGGATCCCAGTCTTTGATTATACACTATTAGCTTTCAGATAGTACACTAATTTTTTTTTTTTTGAGAGAGATTTTTTTTGTTATAGAGCATGTGTGCTTGTCAGAGAGACAGAGAGACAGAAAGTGAGAAATTGCCACCAGGGAGAATGGCCACACTGCAACCCCTTCTCCTCCATTCTCTCCTCAGGATCTTGGGCATGCATACACACACGCCTGGCATGACTTTTAAGCCGCTGGGTCCAGGACTCAAACTGTGGTCAACAATGAGGGAGTGCAGCAACATAATCATTACATTCTCTGCTGGTCCTCACTAAGAAAGTTCTTATGGTAAGCTATGACATTTCTAGCAACTTGTTCCAACATCTCTGAGAAGCTAATACAGCATTAGTCTCTTGGTGCACAAGTGGAGCCCACGGTCTATAATGTCATCTGGAGGAGTAGCCCATGTATCTTATATAATCATTTCTTACATTATGAAGTCACATCAATAAGGTTAATGTTGTCAGCAGTAGAAGTGTCAGGTTTTAACTGAAGAATTTCCACTACAAGGTGATATAATCAGAAGTTAAAAACACAGAGGGTAAACTACGTGGGTTCAGATCTTTTCTCTATGACATACATACTATGAGCCTGAGCAAATTGTATAACTTCCGTGAGCCTCAGAACTAATATGTAAAATAGATGGAAAAAAAATAAAAAGAAACTCTTCAGAGACTGGCTATGTAAAATAACTTAATAATATATAAAGCTCTTTAAAATGCCTGTTCTTTGTAAGTGCACAGCAAGCACTAGACATCTCAATCCTTATTATGAAATAGATTTGCTTCTTAGCCAATGGGAATACAAGGCAATTTTCATTATCCTCTCCTAACAAAGCTTTCAAATACCACATTGTGAGGATATTGTTATTAATTGTCTATAACATGGATTCTTGCACAATAATTTGACATATCTGCCCAATGTCTACATATTAGTCATTTGTGAGGTTAATTATATTGGAGAAGGAGATACTTTATGAAAAAGCAACAGGAGTAAAACATTTATTTTTAGTAGCTAAGTATGATACAGTTAAATGCTAATTAACAAACTTCTGCCTGTGGGTCAGAAAATTCTTATGGCTTATAGGCCGTTGTCAGAATTTTTTTTGGGGGGGGAGACATACAACTTTTGGAGTTTAAATATTTAGAAATTCATGATATTTTTAAAATATGATACTGTAGCTCAGGGCCTGAAAGTTACTCTTGAGAGAGTAGATCAGATTTTACATTCACTTGGGGGACTTGTTTTCTTCTCTACGTGGAAAAAATATCACAAATAATCTTTCTTCAGCACTCTTATTAAAAGTTGACCTTGAAACCTTAAATATCTATGTAGCCATACAACTTCAAAGCTTAACAATAACAAATCTATTTTGTAATAAGTTGCAGACACCTGGCAGGAAGGTGGTTAAAAACCACAGGTCATTTACCTATTAAAATAGAAAAACTAGTGTTTAGGCTAAAGAAAAAGAAAAAAAAAAAAAACTAACATTTGTCCAGATTGAGCAAAAATGCCTTGATGCAGATAAGAACATTTTCTCAAACCAAAGCTTTGATTGTTATACAGTACTCGGAGTTAACTGTTCTGCTTGAGGAGATACAGACCTGATTGGTGAAGACTCCTGAAGAATTACCCAAATGCATCTATAAGAGTGGAACTAAGTGCCTTTATTTTTTGTCTCATCTGCCTTCCTTGCCCCTGTACATGCTGAGAATCTAGAAATTTCTGTACATTTCCCTGGTGCCAAAGATCAGCATACTTTGGAAAGAGGGGGTTCGAAGCTCACAGCAGAACCACAATCTCTATAATGCTCCTCTCTCTTCTTCCTTCCCTGCTCTTTGCTACCCTTCTTTGGACCCTACCTCAGTCACCAGGGAATTAATTTAAAAATAATTTTATCTGCTTCCTTCCAGGATCTATTTCTATCCTTTTCCTTGTTACAGAAGCCCTAGCTCCAGATGTCTCTGTTCTGGCTCCACTCACTCTGGAATTTTTCAACTTCCTGGACCCAAGCTTGGCCACAGAAGTTTCACCATCCTTCCCTGTAGTTCCCAAGTGCACTGATCCAGCTCTACCTTCCTCCTCCAATGGGTCCAAGGTCCACTCTGACCTTGTTTTCCAGTGTGGAATTTCTCCAGGCTTCCAGCGGGTGAGGTTCGAAGTCCTCCCACCGCAGTAGCAGACACTGTTTCTCTTTCTCAGGACGCACCAGCTTGGCGAAACTCCATCCTCTGTCTTTAGATTCCTCCACCCGCTTCTTCACGCTGATTGGCAAGATTTCTGCACACAGGTGAGCCTTCCAAGCTTCACTGTAATTGGGCTAAATAGAACTGTTTGGTAATCTCCCTGACATGTCCCTCCCCCCCGGAACATCCCTTCAACACATCGAGAGGCTTTAAAAAACTGCAGCCACTCCTTAACATATTTTTAAGTTGGTCCTTGCAGACATGGCTATTGTTTAACTGCTTGGCTTCCAGCGGGGTTCTGATGTGTGCGGGTTTGGTTTTGAGAATCAGTATAACACTTTAGACCTGCATGCGGGCTTCTCAACTGTTTTCTGAATTGCTTCGTATTCACCTTGAATCCTCTATGGTGTCGTAGCCCATCCTGAGGGAGCCTGGCATCCTCTATCATCAGCCCAAATTCATCTCCAAACTGCAGAAACAGAATGCGCCTCAGAGCTTTCCAACAAAGCTGTTGAGAAACTTGGCAATGCACCCGAGCTCGGCAAACTGCTAATGAGAAGTTAATGAAAGACACAAGGAAGATGCAGACTGAAAAATAATCCAGGATGGTTACACTTTACTTACCTTTGTTGACGGACTGTGAACCGTTCTGCAGATTCTGGCAAAATAGTATTGTTGGGCAATTAGCCTTGTCCATTGTGTTCTGGCTTCGGCCCTGTTTTTCCTTCTGTTTCTAACTTTGATGACTGAAGGCTGGAATGGTCTTAGAAATCTTCTAGTCTGATGCGACCATTTCACAGAGGAGGAAACTGAGGTTAAGAGAAATTGTATTTTGACTAGTTTTGCAGCTAACTAGAGAGACCTACAGGGTGCATGCACTCGCCAGAAAGACAGAGAGAGACAGAGAAATACAAAGCGAGAAATCACCCCCCCCCCCAGGGGGGGGGGTCACACCGCAATCCCTTCTCCTCCATTCTTCTCTTAGGATCTTGAGCATGCACGCACACTCACCCAGCATGAGTTTAAGCCATGGGGTCTGGGACTCGAACCGCAGTTGGCTACATGGGAGTTCAGCGACATAGCCATTACGCTAACTGCTGGTCCTGAGAAGTTTTATCATATAGGGTGATTATATGTGTCAAAAATTTACTATAGATTTCAAAATGCCTAGAAGAATTTCAAATGTTTTCAATATAAAGAAATGTTGAATGTTTCAGGTGACAGATATACTAATTACCCTGACTTGATCCCCATAAATACATAAAATTATTATTTGTCAATTAAAAGCAATAATGACAATTAAAAAAGAACTTAATTTTGCCCTCTCCATGCATCCATTAAGAATAACTTTCACCTCATTACAGAGTCTGTATTTTACTTCTCAGTGTTCTACAATATGCTTGAAGCTAGTAAAATAAGGCTTTTGTTTTTTGCTGTTTTAGGTGCTTTATTCTTAAAAATGATATTCCACCTGGCAGTCACTCCCGGAGAGGTGACTATCACTCTCATCATTTTGGTGGTGATTTTTGTGTTTGTAAAAACACTCGGAAACAAAGGCAGAAAGCGGTTGTCTCCTCCTGGCCCGTGGTCATTTCCCATCATAGGAAATCTCTTCCAGCTTGGAGACCACCCTTACCTTACATTCATGGAGATGAGGAAGAAATACGGAGATGTTTTTATGCTCAGACTTGGCATGGTGCCTGTCCTGGTGGTGAATGGGATGGAGATGGTGAAACAAGTCCTGCTCAAGGACACAGAGCATTTTGCAGGCAGACCTGACATGCACTCATTTTCTTTCTTGGCCGAAGGAAAAAGTTTGTCATTCTCAGTGAATTATGGAGAGAGTTGGAAGCTTCATAAAAAAATCGCCTCCAATGCTTTAAGAACTTTTTCTAAAGCAGAAGCAAAATCCTCTACCTGTTCTTGTTTACTTGAGGAACATGTCACCGAGGAAGTTTCTGAACTGGTAAAAGTTTTCACAGAGTCGACTTCCAAGAATGGCAGCTTTGACCCCAGAAATGCAATTACCTGTGCGGTGGCCAATGTTGTCTGTGCCCTTTGTTTTGGCAAGAGATATGACCACAGCGACAAGGAGTTTCTTCGGATAATTAAAACAAATGATGACTTACTCAAGGCCTCCAGTGCTGCTAACCCTGTCGACTTTATACCATGTTTCCGCTACCTTCCCCTGCGCATTATAAATGCTCCCAGGGAGTTTTATCGGGCTCTGAATAAATTTATTGCATTGCATGTACAAGATCATATTACTACATATGATAAGGTAAGGACTGAAACTCATGCCAAGACAAAGCTTTTGATGAGCAGCAAAAGATAATGAAGAGATGCACTGAGTACCCAGAAAGTTGGGTTCTTCCTTGGTTCTTTTTGCTGTCGTTTGCCACAATGAGCTTTACCCAAGCTAGCAGTAAACGTGTGGTCCAGTGAGATTATAGGGCAGGATTACTCCATTCTCTTGTAAAACTCTAGAAAGTGCTCTGAATTCTTTGATCCACAAACTTCCCAGAAATAGAAATTTCCTCACTATGTGGAATAGGGCGCATATATGAATTAGAAATCTGTAAATGGCTGATAAATGATGTCTCATATGTAGATACATTCCTCGAAGAAAAGAACCCGTTATTGGGTGTGTCCCATTTCTCACCCGATGTTATCAGTTTCAGATTTAAAGTATCACAAGCGTCAGCATATTTGTATTAGAAAATATTTTGAATGATGACAACGACTATTCCATAGAAAGTTTTTTATTTGTCCTCATTTCTTTCTTGAGTTCCTTTGCTATATAGAAATAGATTTTCAGATCATAACATTTGTACTAAGCTCCTCTAGGTAGGGGAAGTGAACCTTCCTGAGAGGCTTTCAAATGTGTTGACTCACTTTGATGATCCACAATGAAGCAAATTTCTTTCTGGAAATGTGCATGTAAGGAGCAGAGTTCTAGTTCTTGAGAGATCATTGTGGAGATGAGAGCATCAGGGAAAAAGATAAAATAATTAAATGTGAAAGGTAGATCACCAAGTAAATTAAGAGTTATGAGTTGTTCCCTCCATTGATAAAGGAGAGAGAAGACAATCTGTCTCAGGATATCAGATGGGGATTCAAGATCAGGTACTGTAGTACCAGAATTTGTAAAATTCATGATCTTTCTTCCCCCTTCCTTAAATGCCCCAGTTCCATCTCTTTCCCCAGAATAATTACAGTAAACATAACATTTTTCCAATAGGTTTAGAAACTTTTTATCATATGTTTTGCCTAGTAATCTCTCTATAATATGTTAACTCTTAATTCTGATATCTTTATATTGTGCTTATAGTCAAAGTTATTCTTTTTGTTGATTATAAGAAGTTCTAACAGGCCAGCAGGTGACATGGAGGTTAAGGCATTAGACCTTACATGGTTGACTCCACAGTTCAAATCTTGGACCTGGTGGTCTGAAAATATGTTGGGCACGTGCACATGTGTGCCGAAAATCCTTAGAGAACAATGAAGGAGAAGGGAGTACAACATGGCCATTCCCTCAGGGGAATGAGTACTTTTTTTTTGGGGGGGGGCAGAGATTTTTGCTCTAGGGCACATATGCTCAACAGAGACACACCAATAGAAAGTAAGAAATCACCCCCGAGGGGGGGATGGCCATGCCACAATCCCTTCTCCATTATCCTCTAGGGATCTTGGGCACACACATACAAACGTGCACAGTGTGAGGTTTAAGGTACTGAGTAGGGAACTCAAACCACGGTCGACTGTGGGAGTCCAGTGACGTAACCGGTCCACCATCTGCTGGTCCCAGTTGATTTCTCACATTCCCTCTCTCTCTACTTCTCTCCAGGGAGTGCACATGCCATACAGCAAAAAACAAGCTAAAGCAAAACAAATATAGTAATAACAATAAAAGAAGGTTGAAGGAGAAAACTGGGTTTGGCAATTCCACATTGCATACTCTTTTAAGATTAAGTGTTATCATTGCTAAGCAAAAACGGCTGCCAGGTGTAAAATGATCAATATGTAGTCCTTGTATTTTTTAAACTCTTTGGGTTCATTTCAAGTTACATGATAATATGGCTCTTCCTGCATGGGATTTGTGTGTAATGTATGAAACATAGGTAGGGATGAAGAATTATGCTAAGCTTTGTCTTCTCAGGATCATATCCGAGACATCACTGATGCGCTGCTTAATACATGCCACAACAAATACGCTTCTACCAAAACGGCCACTTTAAACGATGATGAAATCATCAGTACCGTGAGTGACCTCTTCGGAGCTGGTATGTGAGGGTATTTATCAGTAGGTACAGTGACTAAAGATTAAATATGATCACAATGGGATGATCTTATCACAATGTTTTGCTATTCACTATTTTTTTTTCTATTTAACTTTATTTATTTATTTATTTTTAATTTGACCAATGAGGAACAGAGAGAAAGTGAGAAAACCAGGTCCAGGACTTGAACCATGGTTGGCCAAGTGGGAGTGCAACACCCTTAACCACCACACCAGCAAGCTCCAAGGTTGTTTTTTTTTTAATTTTTTTTTATGTTCTCCATCATGAATTTTTTTAAATTATAATAATTTTTTTTAATTTTTTAAAAAATTTATTCATTTTCTACATTAATTCACTATACACCATCACAACACACAAATGAATTTTCCATCCAAAATACACTGTGCATTGGCTCAATCAAGCACATCAACATACATGTTCTCAGCAAATAATTTTCCAGTTCTTATGTCCTGCATACCTTGCCTTTTGTTTTGCCATCCTTGATTCCCCATCCC